CAGTATATTTTCAAAAATTTAATACATTACTAATCATCTGGAAATATGTGAGCCAAAGTATGAACCGTTATTATAAATGAGAGAATCTTAGCCATAGAAGAGACCTTGGAGGTCATCTGGTGCCATCTTCCCTCCTGATGCAAGTATCCTATTGTAACATCCTTGACAGATGGCCCCTTGTCCTGACTTCATTCAAGTGTCAGGAAACTTAGCACTTTACAAGGAAGCTTATTCTGTCTTTGGGTATTTACATACGAATAAGTTTATTTGACAGAAGGTCAAATTTATATGTTTGAAGCATCATCCTTCAAATGGGAAGGGTGGCCAGAAGTGAATGGCCTGATACGGTGATAGTGGGGAGTTTTGCTCTTTTTCACATCTCAAAATGAAGACAATAGTACCTACCTTGAGGGGGTCATTGTGAAGATTGGTGATGCAATGTATAAAACAACCACCATAGTGTCTGCTTCAAAATAGGTACTCCAGTTGTAGTTATTATTGATGCTTACAATTCCATGTTTCAGATTATAGAGCAATGCAGACTTTGTCTAATCACACAAATATTTGAAGGCTGTTAACATGACCTTCTAAGTTTTCTCTGCTTTAGACTAAATATTTCCTTATTTCTCTGTCATTCTTCCTGCAAATGCATTTTGGATGCCTTCATTACTTTTATTCCCTCCAGTTTGTCAATTTCCCCCTTAAAATGTGGTGATCAATCCAACTTACTCTCCAGTGGAATAATTACTTCCCTTGATCCGGATGTTTCACTTCGCCTAAAACAACCCAGTTTTATGCTAGCATCTTTGGAGGCCATACCATACAGTTGGACTGATGAAAACCTGATTCTGCTCTCCAGAGCACTAGTTATTCCTCCCAATTTTGTGTCAACTGCAGATTTGGCAAGCATGATTTTTACATCTTTATCCAAGCTATTGATAGAAACATTAAACAAGAAAAGGCGAAAGGTTGAACTTCAAGCAACACCCCTGATCCGCCTCTGTGTACTGACATCTCCATCCATTGTCATCGTTTGGTGACATGGTTTCACTATCTTCACATCTACACACCTACTCTATCAAAAGCAGCCTTGCAAGATCCGCTGATATTTCATGTTTTTCAAATTGGGTATTTAATTTTGTAGAGCACTATTCTGTTATCAGTGAAGACAGGTTTGGAATCCATATTTGGAACAGTGTGACATAAGAAAATAGTTTCATTAGTCCTTAAAGAAAAAAAAATCAATGATAATGTGTTTGCTGGATTATTTTTCCAAAATGTTTTGAAATTACTTTCTGGGTCTGGAGAAGAAGATGGAAGAATTAACTGATATTTTGTGGGGGAAAGAGAGATTATTGAAGGGTTAGAGTATGACTTTCAGGAGCCTTTTCTATCTGTCGTGGAGATCTCAGAGACAAAGAGACTATCTAAAATGGTGGGGATCTCCAAAAGAAAAGAAAAGGAAAAAAAAAAAAGGGTCAGGGATTTAGCTCAGGGGTTCGGTGGCCTGCCTTGCAAGTGCAAGAACCCGAGTTCAATCCCTGGTACAAAAAAAAAAAAATTAAAATGTTGGGGAGATTGGATTTGATCAGTGTATGTATATGCCTATATGAAAAAATCATACTGAAACCGATTAGTGTGTACAATTAATATGCATTAATAAAAATTTTAGAAATTAAAAAACATGTTGGTGGGGGATAATGTGAGATACATTGCCAGATAGTAATTTTTATTCTTTTCAATAATTCTCAAAAGAGATTCTTCAGCATTTATTTTGAGAGGGAGCTGTACCTCTTTTATTTAACATACTTTACTTTGAAGAAATCAAATCTGGTCTTTGTGTGTCTTTGCGCTGCAGCATAAGGTTAGCTTTCCTGGTTTTTTTTATGTTCGACGTAAGGCATGTTTGTTGGTCATTGTGCCAATGTAGTCAAAGACTGGATCCTCACTGTCTTCCTTCAAGGGTTCATTTAAGATTTTTGCAAAGATTTTCCTCTGCAGTCTACATACTGTGTGGCTTTCTTCATCCCGACCCTTTCTGTTTCTCCAGCCCATAACTGAACAAGTGCCATAAAGCCTAAAAATCTATCATGGTGAGCATAATGTCAGTTTACAAAGTGAACAGACAAGACACTATCACGCTCAAAAATTTACCAGAGGGTAAAAAGATATGCTTTTATCATCCTGGATCTTCTGGGAAAATTGTCTGATAATTCATTCATGCACTCTGTATTTATCAAGCAGTTATTTATGCCAGGCACTGGCCTAGACAGTGGAGACACAACAGAGAATAAAATCAGATTTAGTTCCTTCTCTCATTGTGCTCACAAATAAAGGAAAAAATGTCTACTAATCAGATAATCTAGGACAATTATAAACTTATAGAAAGTCTTATAAAGGAAAAGGAAATAGTACTCTTGATTAGGAAGGTCAGTAGAGGCTTCCCCCACATGATGCTCAGGCCAAGAGCTGAAGGTAGAGTCAGAGAAAAAGCACTGGTGTCAGAAAACAGCATATTCAAGACTTGGTACTGCAGCACAACAAGGGCACACTAGGAGCAGAAGTCCAGGGGGATGAGAGGAGTCACAGAAAACTGCAATGAAGGTGGTATGAGATGAACTTGGAGGTAAGGTGGATCCCACACAGGCTTGGGAGGTCACACAGAGCATGTTGGTACCTTCCGGACTATGCAGAATCACCCAATGACTCGAGATGAGAGCTGTGGACTATATGATAAGTCTTGCATTTTGAAGAGTTCACCATGGCAGTAATATGGGAAAGAGAAGAAAGAGAAGGTGGAAGGAATGAATGAAAGAGCCCATTTGGGAGCCCACTGTCTAGTCCAAGAAGGGAGTTGATGGTGCTAGGTGTAGGTTGGTAGGAGGAGAAATGGAAGGATAGAAAGAAGTGAGGGATGTGTATAGTAAATTTGAGGACTGTAGATGGGATTTGAAGAGAAGAGGTGTCGGGGGTAACTCAGACATTTTATATTCATTTTATACATTCACATTCTTGTGTATTTAAAGATAGCACATGGTACATGGTACACAGCCCATGGAAATAATTCTATAGAGAGTTAGAAATCCTTCCAGGCCTTAGACCTTTTATTGGCAAAGTAGATGACTAAGAACAAGAACAATGTTGAATGCCTTCAAGAATCCACACAGTGGGAAAAATATACCTGAAATTATTTATCTCAGCAAGACTTCATTAAGACCCTGGGAAATAAATTTGTTAAGACTCAAGTTTCATAAGAAATAGCACAATTACCTTTATTTTCAACATTTTAATGGAGTCTCTAAATCCTATAAAAAGAACTACGGCAGACATCTGCCTATAGTACCATCCTAATGCAAATAGCATTTCCTTTCATCTTACCTCTCCTAACCACAATGTTTCCTCACATCAGAAAAACTTCCCAGTAGAGAAAAGGAGCCTTTGCACCACGTGTCCATGTAAGCCTTTGGGATCCCTCAGCGACATAGTCAGCTTACAGTCTAAGCCAGGTGCCCAGTTTCCACTTGGACTGATGACAAACTGTGGTCAGGGTTCAGGAATCAGCAACCTGGGGAAGGTGCCGTGTGATGGACACCTGCCCCCATGCGTGTTATCACCATCATTTAACACATAGTGCAGGAAATCCTATGCTTTTCAGAAGAACTTCAAAGAACCCCTTCTAAATCTCTTAGGCAACGTTTCTTTTTTCTTTGCTAACACCAAAGTGCAGACAGAGAGATATTTTTCCTTGAGTAGATTGCTAGTGACACTCCTATTTCTTTCCTCCTATCCTCCACCCATTGTCCATGTGACCTCTGGCACATCCCAGCCCTTCTCTGCTGAAGAGCCATACCTGGCTGTCCAAAGAGGCTCTCTTATTGTCCTTCCCTGTTACTTCAGCTGGCCGTGAACTTGCTCCTTCTTTACTGGGTCCTGAATTTCTTCATCACATTTTAGTTACAGTGCATTGATTAGCCCATCCTTCAGTCAGTGTATTGTCCCTCCTTTTGTCCTAGTGACTTGCTTTTCTATCAAGAGCTGTCTTTTGTTTTGGAGACAATGTCTTGCTATATCTTCTAGGCTAGCCTTGAACTCACTGTGTAGCACAGGGTGGCCTCAATCTCTCTATCCTTTTGCCTTAGCCATTTGAGGGGTGTATATTTTAGCTTATTTTTAAAATTTTTAAACAAAAGAGTCCCTTTAAGTGACTCAGATATCTTACTATTTCCTGCATTAATTTATTCATACAATATGTGTTTATTGAATGTCTACTGTGCTCCAAATACCATGGGATAGAGTTATGAACGTAGACTTTCTACATTCTAGAAGGAAAGAGTGAACACAACAACAGACAAGCATCACAGTTTTGTATTCCATCATTTCATGCAATTGTTAGGAACTGATCCTATGGAAATGCAATAGAATGTTGCAACTTTTCCTCTTGTCATCAGATTTAAGATGCCCTGTCATCTGTTCAAATCATCCCCATTCCACGGGTTGTTAAGCACCCAGACTACAATTTGGAAAAGTAATAGTTTCCTGGGAAAAAATGCATATGGTTGGCCACTCTTCCAGGACTGAAAACAAAACAAAAAATAACCCAGTGTGATTATCATTTGAAGCAGGACACAGAAATAACTGTGCTAAATCACATATTATGCACTTACCTCAGAAATCACTTTCCAGTGCAGTTCATATCACACCAAGTCAGGTAAGGTATGCACTAAATATCCCTAATGTAAACCTTGCTTCAGGATGGCGGCAGAGTGATAAGCAGACTTCAAGGCATTTCCCTTAGTGTTTTACTCTGAGAGTGATTAGTTAATTTTTCATCCCCTCATAGCTGTAAGTTTTAACATGATGAATGGGCCCAAGGCTTGCCAGGAGCCATAACTTTCTATTTCGTTGACACAACCAGATTCCCAGTTTTGGCCTTTGAGAGCTTGGGAGTAGCATGAAACATCACCTCCCCCTGACCTTTGTCCTCTGTCTTCTTTGGGCAGAATATCTCAATGCATAATACAGTTGGTGGGGCCATGGCGGGGCCTGGAGCTCACCAGCTTGGCAGCACCCGGATGCCCAACCACGATACCAGCGTTGTGATTCAGCAAGCCATGCCGTCACCCCAGTCCAGTTCTGTCATCACACAGGCACCTTCCACCAACCGCCAGATCGGGTAAGGGGATCTCCTTGGCTGTCTCTGGGCCCTGTCTGGTGCTCAGAAAACATCCTGGACTCTCTCTTTGTTTCTGGTACTCAGATTTGTTGGTTTTCCTTGTAAGTGTGATAGCACTGAGAGCTCAGAGTGATGCTTTTGATGAGAGAAGGGAAAGGGAGCCTGCTTGTTGGAAGCTGTTTTGATCCTGAATGTGGTGGGAGGAGAGCAAGGCATTCTGTGTTCTCATGACTTCAGAGAGGATTTGTGAACTTTAAGATGAACATAGGCAAACTTGTGCATGTTATGGAGACCAGAGCAGAGCACTCAGGACAGATGCATGACAGTGGTGGAGGGAAGTTCTCCAGCCTGCCTGCCCTCTGTGTGCAACCTGCCTTCCTAGGAGCTGCCTTGTCTTTCTACCATCCTACTGCCTCTGACCCTTCTTTGTAAAAACAAAATAAAACAAAACAACAACAACAACATTATTAGCTCTCCCTTCACTCTACATAAGTCTGTACTCATGCCTAAAGCAGACTCACTCCTTCTCATTTATGTAAAAACAGAATAGTGAGGCATTGAAAAAATCGTGGTAGCATTCTGTCACTGAATCCCAGGCACGTGTGTCATATGGTGTGATGGAAATTGCTCTTGGTCTTTGGTATCATGGGGGTAATGATCCAGTCCCTTGCTGGGCATAGCGTGTGGTCTGAGTGTTACCAACGTGGGTGTTGCAGAAATGCAGAATTTCTGGCCCAGTATCCTTAACTCCAGAATGAAAATGGAGTCTGTTCTTTCTGATCTCACAACAGTAAAGATGAAATAAATGATTTAAAAGCATGTGGGTTCTTAGGAAGAAAAGGTAATAATTTAAGCCAAAGAGCCATGGTAAATGTGTCTAGCTGGATGCTGACAATTGGTTGCTCTCTGTTCCCAGAATTGTCTTCTTAAAACAAGAAGAGGAGCTCTGTGTTTGGTACATGCATGAGAATTCAGTTTGAATTTTCAGTTGATTATTGGTTATGGTGATTTAAAAAGAAATTTAAAAAGCTGCCCCACAGTTTGTCTGTGCCTACCCGCTTGTTGTTAATGTTGATAAGAATCCCAAGCCAACACTGAGTACTGGCTTATTCCTCTGAATGTCCTAGAATGTCCTGTGTCTCTCACTTTTCAGCTCATCAGGATGGGTGACACCTTAACATAAGTGAACCAAAGGTAATGACTGTTCTGTGAGTTTTCCATAGGTACCATAGGTTTCCCATTCAAGAAACAGAAAATGAATCTGGCCATTGGATGTTTGGCTTTGTTTAAAGAAGCTAATACTAAATAAGCAAGAATCTTTAGTAAAGATTTCTTTTCCTCTTATGACTTTGAAAGTAGTTATCTGGAGCAAGATCTCATGCATACTGAGAGGGCAGGGTGGATTCATTAAAGACCGCATCCAAATTTCAGGGGACTCCTTCACTCTAGGGGCCTGGCTTTGGGCAGACAATTCACAACTAGGCAAGCTAATTATAAATATTTTATTTTTCTTTCAAGGGGAAAAACATAAAATGTGCTAGAGTTTACTAGCAGCTTTACAGCATTCCTTCCCCCCTGGAGTTCTCCTGCCTGCCCCCTCCAACCTCACCATCTACTCTGTTGGAGTCCCTTAGCATTCACCCATTGTTCCTACAAGGCTGGTTTTTATGGAACAGTCTTTTAAGGGTTAGCACTAAATTTTGAGGTGGGTGTTGACTCTGTCAATAATTTACCCAGCTGGCCCAGGACTGTACATTTGGGTGAGATCTGTAGACTGTGTCACTCTGCCTGGATGGATGGGGGTATTCTCCGTTCATAATAACCTCAGAACTTCCCAGCATACTCTCTCTTCCCATTTCTCCCCCAACTTCGGGTGTTATATGTCTCTCCTAGTGTGTTCTAGGAGATAATTGTCACTTTTAGAACTCCGTTTCATTGCCAAGCTTGAGGGAGGCTATTTCTTTTCTTCAGATTCTTCCCTGTTGTGTTTACTGGGTTGATTCAAACCAATACATCTGTCATTTCCATTTTTGTGCATGTGACCCATCCAGAACTGTGCCTGGGTGATCATGGAGCCTCAGCAAGAAAAAAACCCAGCCCATCTCTCCAGTGGATTTAGTATGAAACTTAAGGTGGTAACATTTGGGGATGGTTGACTCTTTTATTTCTCTGAGCAAAGAGGAAATGAGTACTTATTTTAAAACATGAGTTTTCTCTGGAGACTGTGTCTTTAAATGAGCATTTGAAATTGCAGATAGCTTTTTTCTTATTCTGTATTTTTTCTGTGCATGTGAGGCTGCACAGAACCATATTGTAGTAATATTCTGATTTTTATCACAAGCTCAAGTATTTAAGTGTCAAAATCTGGCCAAGCCACCTGCAAATGTTTGCCATGGCTACTGGCCAACAAAAACAGCAAACAGCAATGAAGGTCTCCATTCAGGCTCAGTGCTTAAGCCGCATCCAGCCAGAGAGGCTGGGACCCACCTGTGCCCGCGCACAGCCTCTTGTGCTGTGGCCACTGGGTATGTACACGACTGGAACTTTGTGGGAGATGGTGCAGACTGGCTCCTGCTCCCTGTTTTTTTTCCTTTCTTGCCACCGGTTCTGGGTTTCTGTGACCATCCCCACTTTTACACTCTTTTCTTTCTCCTTTTGTGCTTCAAAATTTGATCTTAAAGGCTTGACTATATTAGAAATGATACTGACATAAAGAACTAGAAAAGTGGAATGGCTGCAGTTATCAGAGGAGGCACTGCAGACATTGGATTTTTTTTTTTCTTGTGGAGAAGGCACTGAGCCAGAGAAAATGAAAATGAGTGGAAATGTAAAAATCCAGAGAAACAATGTTAAACGTAAGTAGATCGGCTACATATGCAACTTCTATTCCATACCATAGTGACCCATACTACGCCCTATGCTCAATTATGTAAAAGTAGTGCTATTATTGCAATAGAGACCATAGGTTAGTATAAATATCCCAAATTGCATTTATGTGGTTAGGCAGGCTAGAAAAACACACGGCTGTAGGGAGTGTGGGAGGCATCCCCAAACTAGTGACTACTTGTGCTCAGTCATACTGGCAGACATGCTGTGGGGAAGTGTCTTTGGCTGATTGATGGTAGCATTTTAGGAGATAAGTTTCCCAGATTGGAAAAAAAAAAAAGTGAGACATGGGCTGCAAGGAGACAAGAGAGACAGAAAACAAGCATATGTTAAATAGAGATGAAATTGATTCAGCCTTGAACCAAGTAGGTGGCAGATCCCAAACAGTATCTCCACTCCAGTCATTTTTATTAGATATCATGTAGCAGGCTCATTAATTCAGGATCAAGTCAACTAAGCCTGGGAAAAATGGTGGATGAGCACATAATGGTAGTGCAAAGTCTCTCATGTGCTCTCTGTCTATGATTGTAGTGTAAAGTCTCTCTCTAGAGTAGCTGCTAAAGCATTCTACAAATTTCCTTTTTGCTTTTTAATTCTGGGTAGGGAATTGGCCAAATAGTTAAGCTCATTAGATCATTAGTGAAAATTACCTGACAGCAATTGCTTACAATGGAAATATTATACATCTAACATCAGAATACACAAATTTGAAATATTCTGGGTAAAATAATGAATTAACCAGCTATATCGGGAAACTTGGATATACATCCTGCAGAATGCATATATGTATTGATAAATGTCTTAAATTGCTCACTGATTATATACCAGTTCTAATCCTGGCATATTAATGTCCATGTAATGCATAGATATTGAACATTTGGTCATAAACCCTATTTATTTGTAGGGGCTATAAGCTAAGCAGTTTGGATCTAATACTTAGCCAGAGATTTCTATAAAATGTTGTGGAAGCAAATCTTGTTTTGCATAAAAATAAAAAGGTAGCAGGCTGGGGATTTTGCTCAGTGGTTCCACCACCTGCCTCACAAGCGCAAGGTCCCAAGTTGGATCCGCAGTACCAAAAGAATAAAAATAAGTACTTTATTTTCATGGGGAGGGGAAGAGGGGGTGAAGGAAGGGCAGGGGTAAGGGGGGAAAAATGAGAATCAAGACTTGTCACGTAGAGGTACAAGATCCCAACAATGTATGTAACTATACTGTATCCCTAAAATGTACCAATAAACACAATTAAAGCTGAAAAAAAAAGAATAAAAATAAGTAAATAAAAAGGTAGCAATACTTATCATAAATGATACCTTCTCTTACCCTGTGTGTCTTATCCTCTTGCCCCATGTGTCTGTATTCCTTTTTCTCCTTGCAATCCCTGACATACATAATACCAGATGTAGCTCTGTGGACATGGCCATGCAAAACAAGTAAACAAGGAAACAAACAAAATAATAGCTGAAATAAAAGCTTATTATTTCTCAGGGCTTGTTGGTATCAAAAGCAGAACTACTTTTTTGATCAGGTAGATCATGAGGCTTTGTTGTGTGAGTTTGTGTTGTCATCCAGAGAGGATAGTTAATAGATTGAGGGGTTTGTGCCAGTTATTGCTCTGAAAATAAATAAGAAGAGAGATTGGTAAGTGATGCATTCACGGAAAGGCATAGTTAAAAGATGGAAATAACAAAGCAGCTCTGTAAAGACATCTGTGTATGAATCCATTATTAAGAGCTTTTGCAAATGTCTCAAACCAAGCTGAGCATGACTATGATTGTCACTGTCCACCACTGGCTGGCGGCATCCAGGCCAGCCTCTTTCCTCCTGTGGGAGTGAGGGGCAGGTCTCCGGTTGTCACTGCTCCTCAGCCTTTAACTGGGACAACTTGAAGCCCCCCCTTTGAGTAATTCAGACCAGAAGCCATTATTTCCTGCTTTGTGTTTTGTTGAATATCACGGCTATGAACATAGCTTTATTGTTAGAAAGTTGCTGGATCTTTCACAGCCCCAAGAACATTTACGAGGGCCCTTTGGGGGATGCTTTCTGGGAGAGTTGACAAGCTTAGCCATATGGCTCCCGTTAAATCCCATGCAGAGCCTTGAGAAATTACGTCT